AACAACAACCATAACCTTCGACCTCTGGTCATTTAACTAACTCACAAACCAGATTTAGATTCCCATTGTACAATTAGGAGAAAGGGTGTGTGTGGGGTGGAGGTTGGGGGTTTGGGGTTCTAGGGTTAACTTATACTGTCCGTTCGGTGTGATTGCCGTGAACGTATATCAAATGACGAAATATGGTTTTGTTTCACAAAATACAGTCAGCTAAGGGTGACTATATTTGCAGAGATCGTAATTAGGGTTTCCTTAGAAAGACGTTACACTCGTTTCACAAAACATCCATACTCAACTTTGAGATATTCACATTTATATTTACTTTTGACTTGGAAGTAAGGCTGGTCTACGAAATGGTTCCCAGGTTATGATGAACCCGTACCCCGACGGTGTTGATCGTTGTTCATGCTATCGACCAGTGGTTCACCTGCCAGAGTGGAAGTGTTAGATGTCATCGTGATATCGATAACCTGTTGCAGGCTTTAGCGTAATTCACACATTCACTTCATTATAGTCTGATAAGCAACAGAATCAATTCGAATTCTCGCAGCTGATTGAATGTGTATTTCATGCCGGAGGCTATATCCCTTATCGCTTGTCAGTTTAACACTTGAAATGCATGCCGATTACACGTGTCAGGCAACAGTCTGTGTACACTGCATGTGTAGCTGTCTCATGTACCATCGATCACGTCAGTGTGTGTTTGGTTTACTGCAACAATCATGTTTATTAACCAGGAGCGGTTGTTTAGATACGCTCTCACTCTTTACATGTCGTGTTTTGTGGAGTGACCTTCTCTAAACACATAAATCAATGGGGGAAATTATGCCACGCACTGGGTGAGGCGCAGCCTACTCGACTCTTGGATAAAAACTCACTGTATCAAAACAGTGAGGGAATACGTAACTATGAGTGAGTGAGTTTGGTTTTACGCCGCTTTTAGCAATATTCCAGCAATATCACGGCGGGGGACACGAGAAATGAGCTTCACACAATGTACCCATGTGGGGATTCGAACCCGGGTCTTCGGCGTGACGAGCGAACGCTTTAACCACTAGGCTACCCCACCGCCTATACGTAACTATGAGTTTATTAAATATAACATAATGCTTTATTTATGATACAGAAGTTGACATCCATTTAATTAGGTGCCTGACTCTGAGGATGTGGGTTCGAATCCCGGATGAGATTCAACCCAACAAAAGTACAAGAATCTGTACTTTATTTAGAAAGTGTAATCCCAAATATAACATGTTACATTTGACCACTTTCTAAATGGTATTGTGTAATCATCCATTTAATTGCCTCTTAATGTGTACTATTTCCGACCATTCGACGATTTCCGACCGGGAACTCTTGAACATCCGGGTTACAATACTCCAGCAACCGATGCTAAGAGGCGACTCAGTGGATTCGGTGACCAGACTTGCATTGTTTTTATTTACGTTGACCAATGCTCATGATATCAGTCTCCGGTTGTCTGGTCCAAACTCGATCATTTACAGATCATATAGGTGGGAAGTTGCTGAGTGCGGCGGTATTAAACAACAAACATACACAAACTGACCGGGATCTTATCGGGTGTCCTTCCACATAAACCTGTCACGACGTGATATAACTGCAGACCAGGGCACCGTTTCACAAAGCTCTCGGAAGCCTAAGATCTCGTAACCTTTCTCGTAGCATTCGTACCTTCTATACTGTAACATTGACTTACGATAGTCGTGGCGCTACGAGAGCTTTGTGTAACGGGGCCCTGATTAAAACGGCGTTAAACCAGGACTTTGAGCTGTTTTCTCGTTCAGCATGACGTCAAGACGAGATCGGATTGAGCAAGTGAGTGAGAGGGTTTTATGCCGCATGTAGTAATATTCAAGCAATATTACAGATTGGGAACCCAATAACGGAACCTTTGTTCCTTTAAAACATTAATTAGCGATTCTATTTAACAGCTAGTACAACATTAATTGCACAACAAGCAGTCTGAATTGTGAATCATTTCCACGTGCATTTACGGTGGTGGAAAATAGAGAATATCGGGGATCGTTTTGCCAAAATACCGGGGATGCTATTACGTCCTCCATAATGACCCAGTGAGTGGACTTTGAATTCTGTCGTAAAATGTCAGTCTCTTTTCGATGCGACAAATTGCCACTAATTCCTTTCAAAAGAGCTTTCTTAAAACACTCAGCTGACGTTACCGCATGTTACGTTGAATCGATCTTGAAACGAAATGTAATCTTCAAAAGAAATGAATTATTAACTTCCAGAAATACCAATAGAGAAGAAACAAATCAAATATTTGAATATGAATAAATGTCATCGCGTCTTAAACGTGAGGAGTGCTTAGCTATGGTAATATTTTAATCCTTGCTGTGAATATTAATGACTTGTGTTTTAACATGAAATATCTAGTTATGATGACAAGTCTCCTTGCTAGGGTTGTTTGAGGTCAAATAAACTCCATAATAACGGAGATGGGAATATGTATACCCAAGCCACCCAATTGTCAAGGTAAGTAAAATATTGACAAAGATCTCAGCGTTAAAGTTCTGGTTCTGGTTACTGTGTCTTGTGTGGGTCTGGTGTTGTTGTTTACGGCCTAACGGAATGATACAAGTAGGCAAAGCATTGTGTATATTCATGAGTTTTCTTCATGTTTATCGTTTTTCGTCATTATAATAATGAAAAATTTACATAAGATCGTAGCTCACTCGCACATTCTCACGTTCCGCTCTGTTACCTCACCCAAGAAGATCCGGGTTAGAATTGGTCTTCAGCAACCCATGCTTGCCGTAAGAGGCGACTAACGGGATCGGGTGGTCAGGTTCACTGACTTTGTTGACACATCGGTCATCGATTCCCAATTGCGTAGATCGATGGTCATGCTGTTGGTCACTGGATTGTCTTATCCAGGCTCGGTTCATTTATTGCTGAATGCGGCGTAAAACTAAACTCACTCACTCTTACCTGTTGAGTAATGAATAATGTCGTGCAATGTCAAGCCTAGAATATGTGACCAAGTACAGATTACCACACTTTCAGGCTGAAATTGAAGAAAGTCTATTGGGTCCTTTGTTTTGAATCTTATGACCATAATTTAGAAACCGTTTATTTCTGAAAAATATGTCATTTACAGAGACTAGATGTTCGTCTACCGTTGACCTGGGATTGACCTTATATATTCAGTTATATTTGTGTTGCATGACAGTGTTGGGGAATTGGATGGAGAGTTACGTCTCGATCTCAGCAATATCAGCCAATAGGTTTCTATTTCTATATCATCACAACCCTCAAGCTTAACATAAATAGTCTTGATCACTTCTACACCAACAAGTGCCTTTCGAATATAACATGCACAATATCAAAACGTGAAGCTATATTGCACATATCTTAATTATAAGGCTTAAATTGCCAGTTTTTCTTCAGTTCATCCGGACTCTCAGGATCGTTGATCGTTGAGATGAGGAACACTCAAAATGATATTGATGCTATATTGATAAAGCAAGTGTAGATTGGCCTCGGGAGAAACATATTGGTCGCATGGTGCGAGTATTAATCCGAAATATCCATCCAAGTTGTCATTGCTCCTCTCTGCTTGAGCACTTCGGATACTTCCATGTCATGTCATGTGCCGTAATAGGTTTCCACAAGTAGTCCGAATATTAGAGCTCCCTTATGGATGTGGAAAATGTTATGTCGCATTACATTTCTTAAATAGTTGGCATCGGGCACTGGATTCTGATTTCTTCTGATAATGGAATGTGTCGTTGGTATTTTAAAAAACCGAGCAACTGTTATGTAAAAGGCAGGAATAATACTCGTTACCATCTATCGTCAATGCGCCTATATCCTCCTCACCACCCTATATACACCCGTATGTGTTTATATACAGAAATGTACTTTCAGACCCAACATATATAGAAAGTATTTCGTGATAATTTGACGAATGAGTGAATATTGCGTAACATCGCATGAACAATTTTTCAGCTATTTGAGGATGGTTCATTTTTTACAAATGTGTTTGGATGCATGCCAGCCCGATGCAGTTATCGCCGCTGATCATCGGCGTGTCGTCGTTATGTCATCGTTTACAAGAGAGTAGATCAACATGCCATGGACATCGCTACAAAACGTGTATCAACAACCTACACTGAGCGGATAAACGGGGTCACGCTGCCAATGCCACTTTCAAGCCTAGTTGTCCCTTTGAATAACACATTGAAAATTGAAATAACTTCACAAAAATATAATGATAATATCACGTTAAATTGTATTTTTAATTAATTTTGAGATAACAAACAATCATATCGGAAACATCTCATTATATTTCACAAATACAAATATACACATATAGAAAATATTATTTACCTCATAATAATATACTTTACAACATATATTTCGAATATTTTTTCCAATCCATTTATTGTCTTTGGTAGACAGGTCCAACAATAATCCACCACAGTTTTGAAAAATCATCATGATCCTTGCTGTGTCAGCACTGCAGCCGTATTCTTGGTTTTCACCAAGCATCGTCCCATCAGGACAGGATTAAAACTGGTCTTCAGTAACCCATGCTTGACGGAAGAGGCGCCTAACGGGGTCAAGCTCTACGGCATAGTCACCCGACCGACGCATGTCTTCGTATCCAAATTGCGTCAACTGACGCTCATGTCAGTCACTGGACTGTGTGGAGATGTGTGTTGGAGCTTCATAAAACAGTGAGTGAGTGAGTTTAGTTTTACGCCGCACTCAGCAATATTCCAGCTATATGGCGGCGGTCTGTAAATAATCGAGTCTGGACCAGACAACCCAGTGATCAACATCATGAGCATCGATCTACGCAATTGGGATGCGATGACACGTGTCAACCAAATCAGCGAACCTGACCACCCGATCCAGTTAGTCGCCTCTTACGACAAGCATAGGTTACTGAAGGTCAATTCTAACCCGGATCTTCACGAGCGTCATAAAACAGTACTGCACAGTGACGCTTTTTAACATACAATATGCAAAATAGATATTAATGTAAAATTAAGGTATGAAATGTATTATTTTGAATCAAAACACAATTTTTACTTAAAAATACATTTGTCTCAACATTGACCTTCATGATTTATCTACCCGATGAGACAATATTGTTTTTCAATATAAGAGTGCGTCAGTGTTTCATTTTTCTCTATGGATATTTCCATGTCAGTTTTAGATCGAAAATTAGAAAATTAGTTAAGGGAATGATATGTTGGCGTTTGTTCAGATCTGTGTTCAGTTGTTGGTGAAGGACACCCCGTTCTTTAAATACGACGTTATATGTGCATATCGACTGACTATGATTAAAGATAATCTCTACTTTTGATTGCAACACCACCCTTGTGGTTCATGTCATGAGCATCTTTGTAAGTGATGACGCGTTCAGCCATCGATCAGATGTCGACAACTGACATTTGAAAAAGTTGAAACTGCCCTTGCCCCTTGTCTTCAACAACACCCTGTTTGCCACTAGGACTTTAGTCGTAAGTTACTGTTAAGATATGGCACTTACGACTATCTTAGCGATAAGAGAGCTTCGAAAATCTAGGCCCTGGAGCGCTGATGTGGTCAAAAGGGTAATGGTCGCATCTTTGTAATAGGATACTATATAATTAATATGTTAATAAAAATGAATATCTGACTGTTCAAAGAATGTTTTGAGCTATCGAAATGACACCGCTTAAAATTAATTAACTGTGCCATTTTATCATCCACTTTTGGCCATCTGTTATATCACCTATTAACATCCATATTTACAGAATTCAAAGTCAGGCAAGTCGTCTAGGCCATGAGAAGCTACTTACTACGTATCAGTACAAGGTAGTCCCTTTCTAAGCAGTCACTTAAAAGTGTAGTCCCATAGAAACTAGCCCCTTAAACACAAGCACCTTGCAAAGTAGCTTCTTCCAAAGTTGCTTCTCACAAAGTTGTTTATTACAAAGTTGCTTCTTGCAAATGAAAGTAATCCTTTAGAAAGTAGTCCCGAACAAAGAAACACTTTGGAAAGTATTTTTTTACAAAGTATTCTCGCACAAAGTAGTCCAAACGAACGTTATTCCATTATTTACAGCGACAAGAATTTTTGGACGTGCCATATCCATTATGAAGATGCTAGTTTGGCACTAGTCGGACTGTAGAATGGTGTCGGAGCCGCTGCTGTCGCTGCTGCCCAAATTAATTCCAGAGTGCCCGGTCTTGATGATGGAGTCGAGGGGAAACTCTTCGATTTCCGGAATGTTTGGCGCCGATTCTGTCCTGTTACAAAGACAGTCTTGTAGTCTTGTGGACTTTCTCCTGTGCGTCCTCGACAGGTGGAAACTGTCCTGTGACACAATGTCCTCCTCATACTGAAATATCACTTCACGGTCATAGCCATGGCAGGAATGGGTAACACTATGGGGAACGTCTGAGTATAACCTCTTGCACTGATGCGCACCAGAAGAGCAAGGCCTTTGAGTCCGTCGCCACGAATCTGAACCGTTATTACAACTCTCGGGGTTGTACCGCCCATGACCGTTCACATGCACGCCATTCTTACCCTTCCACTCCTCGGGGGTGTTTCCATTGCATGCAATATGCTCAAAAGAATCAACCACTGTGCTCCGAGTCGTCAACAGCTCCACCCTGGGCGGGTGTACAACACAACGACGCACTTCAGACTGTTTCCGGGAAAATAGTCTTCCAGCAGCCAGACGGAAGGATGTGCTGGTCACGCAGTAAATTATGACGTTCCAGAAGCTGTTGCTTAACGCTAACCACGTCACCGAGAAGTCCAGGAGGGGGTTGACCTTCACGTCCCCCAGAGCCATGACCAACTGTGTGACAGTCCAGGGTGTAACAGCAACAAAGAACCCTATTGTGATGAGGCCAAGAGTCTTGGCTGCCTTCAGATTGAGGGACCGTCGGGAACCCTGAAGCAGAGAAAAGTGATCAATACTTGCACAGGTTGATTACATAGGTTAATTGTTTCATTTATGTCACTTATGTCTCCGATGGGAATATTTAACTATCATTTATATTATTTTAACTTATACGAACTAACATAGCTAATTGTGGTCCCTTGGCGTTCATACCATTCTTTTGCCATAGTTCTATTTACTATTTGTCTTTTGAACCAACAGGGAAGCAGGTTTGAGTTTGTTTTCAGGAGGACAATTGACCAGCATTTGCATGTGTTTATGATGGTGTCAACCGTGGGGCAGGATTTTCGCGAACATCTGGTATAATCACTGTTAGGATACGGATTCATAAGCACATGCTTATAATGTAGCCAGAATTGTCTAATAGACTCTGCTTTCAACAAAAAATTCAGACGGATGTGGAAAGGCCTGTTATTTTTATGCCTACAATCTGAAACTGTAGTTACGATCTTCGAATGCTGGCACGACCAAGAGATGCAAGTCACAGTGACTTGCAACTCGTCTGACCACTTGACCATCTGTTGTCCATTGACCAGAAATAAATTCCGACATAAAAAATGTAAAGGAGAAATTAATTTCATCCGTGTATCAGTCTGATTAGAATAGTTGGGTGTCGGAAAATGTTATAAAGCGAATGGTGGATTAATATGGGAGTATAAAGGATATGATATGAATTGATTACAGTGATAACGACTGGTGCTAGGAAAAGAGGTAACCTTGTTCTTCTCGACATGTAGCACTCGGCATGCATCCATGTATCATTGAAACATAAGTGGTTGTCAAGAAACTTAATTTCCCAGTCGACAAACATTTTGAAAAAATCACTAGAATATTATTAATTCATTGGCGCAAACCAATTACTTCCAGACTGTGTCAATTACAGCATATACATTTGTTAACCAACCAAAGGGGTAATCGTTTATACTTCATCAGAGTAGTCTAGTTCTGATTCCACAAAGCGACTGCAGCTCTAAGGTGATCGAAACTCCCATACTTTAACTTAGCCGTACAACCCTCGTAGCCCCACAGTCGCTTTGTGGAACGGGGCCCAAATCATGAAGTTGGTAATCACCCTATTTATATCAGGCAGTGTCAATATGCCGATGGTTGTCGGTATTGACCAGTGAATCTATCTAACAATCTTGTGGCAAGTACACTGACCCTCTCCTTATTCCTGTTGATCTTTGTCAAGACAGATGATAAACGCAATATCTCACTTTTCAACACGTGATAGTGACTACCTAAAGATCGAGTCTGACACTAATTAACTTCTCGAAATGTTTGCATACTGTGAGGAAGTGCAACTCTTCAACTTAGATGAATTCAATATCATCTCCTTTCTACTGTCTAACATCAGCCTGTGACCCCATGGGGCCTGGACAGGTTGGCACACGACTTATGGTCGTACAATCTCCATGTTTTCAGACCAAACAAGTGGTTATTTAGTGTTCTTGTTAATAGGTGATGTCAGTGTTTTGACTGCGATGGGCAACTCTCACCAAAGACTTCAAAGATGTTTACAAAACAAACAAAGGATGTGCATTTATAACTCGCACTATCAAACAGCTCATCAAGTCAGTTCAAATATAATAATGTGGAATCAAAGAATATCACATCAGTTGGCAACCATAAGGAAAGACACTGGTTTAAATTGTATCAGCATATCGATCAATAAATTCGATTAAATAATCCAATATCAGTCTCTGAACTTGGCGTTACAAAGGAAGGACGTTGAACATTAAAAGTGATTGGTAGCATTAATAATTTATTATAATAAATCTGGTTTGCTCTAATTATGTGTGTTGGTTTGCCAGCCCCATTCCGAGGCTGGTGGGTTCCACTAAAGCGGTAAACAAATGCATCACTCCTGACGCACAGAAAACTGGCATATAACTGAAACACTGTTGGAGTAAACCCAAATAGCATTGTTGTTGTACTCAGGCTGGAATTTAAAATTCAAAATTTTGGTCTCCTGACTGTGAATATGTACATCCATTACCTTGGCAGTCTCATAATGAATGATTTTTGATATTTAAACAAATTTGCTTTAATCATCACGTTTGTGCGTGTATATGTATTGCCTCTCACAGAAGCTTTCAAAGTACATCTCAGAAAAGAATGGAGTGAATATGTCACCTTGGCAGTCTTATTTTGAAATCATAAAGAGCATTGAGAAGAACATGTAACCCCTTTTTACGCTTTATAGACGATGCTCCATGCACACTCTAGAAGTCCGTAAAGACCGTCTCCGTGGTGTAGTGGTTAGAGCGTCCGCCCGGTGAGCGGAAGGTCGTGGGTTCGATCCCCGACCGCGTCATACCAAAAGACGTTAAAATATGGTACTTGTTGGTCCCTGCCTGGCGCTCGGCATTAATGGGTACAACAAGGACTGGTCGGTTCGGAGTCAGTATAATGTGTCTGAGTGGGGTATTCATTCTTCACTGCGGCATGGTATCTCAGTGGGCTAGCACTATAAAACCAGCTTAAGTCTGGGCTAGTACAAGCAGCCGCACTTACACATACACACGCATGCACGTCGTCATATGAGCGAAATATTCTCAAGCACGACGTTAAACCCAATTTCACCTCACCTCACCTAGAAGTCCGTAAAGACCGTCAAGAACAAAACCAGACCAAAAGGTTCGAATTAGAAATGGTACACACTCACTTGGAACTTGAAACACTTAGAGCTAGATAGAGAGGGCTAATGTTCTCCGGCTCCCAACTAACCGGCCCAAGTTGTTTCTCGTCTAAGCTTTTTGCTTTGTGTTTATATTTCACCCGTACCTGTGTTTGGGTCAGTGCGCATGCCACATATAAATAACAACACTACAAACCTTACACAGTTCTAAGTGATTACATATCACTATCCTCATTAATACAACCTTGATATTGGAATTAAAACTGGCCTTAAAACACTAATTTGGGTGGAACACCTCGAATATCTCGTGTTTCTGAACCTTACTCTAAATGCTATTCGCAACCCAGTGTCAATGCCTACAACATAATTTTGAAACACGAGCCGGGCAGGATAGTACCTGTTTCTCGTTAAGAAGATCAGTAAACGTTCCGTTAAACTAAGCAGCATGATTACAATAGGTGAAAGGTGTCCCGTGCCCTGCACTGAAAACATCTGTCTTGACACAAATGTTTGGGACGTATTTGATCTCTTGCAGCATGAAAAAAAACAATAATCGTTTGTCTGGATCAAGTTCAAGCTGCGAAATTAATTTGCGAGATGATAAAACCAGATTACTCTACTGTTTCTTATCGAGTAATCGGACCATTAACCTTATAGGTAATGTCTCGTGTCGTCTAGATATGTCTACAACAGCAGCCACGTTGATATATTGCACGTGTAAGACGTGACTGATTATATACCGATAAGCTGACCTTCAACTCAGGTGTATTGTCCTGAAACTGGCATGCTAACTCGTAATGTGTACCCACTGGACATAAAACTGAAAATGAGACACACTATTGACATTATTTACGAACAAAGCAAAGGTTCGGCCACAAATTATATTACGACCTACGAAACACATCAGACATACACTGTGATTGAATTGGTAGATGAGTCCACACAGAGCACTTATCAGGAAATCAGATATATATTTGGACCTAGAAATAATTAAACTGGTATCAGTTGTAAATGCTTTTAAAACTCGACCTGGGTATAAACTCTCTGGATTGGAATCTGATGGCGTGATACCAGTTGGTTACTTTACTTGCATTTTCATCCCGGGTCATTGCTCGTAAAGGGAGATTTTTACCACTATAAGATGGCTCTGGGTAGCGGCCGGCAGAGAGATGAGGACAATATGCAGATGTTCTAACGGTACCAGTGACTAGGGCACTGCTGCTATTGATTTTAACACGTTAAGGAGCGGACCTTAATGTAAAGATAAGCCTATCTCCGTGATGGACGTCTGGTGCGGCTCTTACTAAATCTATATAGTAGTTAATTCCTAATGCGTTGTAATATTGAAGTTTCAGATTATCTTACTTGCGATAGGACACAGGCTGAGGAGTGCTACCAAGTTGCCATTTGGACTGAGAGTAAAAATAATGTGTCAGATTTATTTTCAGAATGATGCTTTTTCTATAAAAAAATGAATCACAACTTTCTAAAGTTTATCTCTGAGATGGACGTTGATTTAACTTAGTGGTTTAGGCGTTCGCTCGTCATGTCGAAGGCCGGGGTTCGAATCTCAAAATATGTTCAGAGTGACGATGGGGTAGTTTAGTGGCTTAAGCGTTCACTCGTCACGTCAAAGGTCCGGGGTCAATTCCCAGGGGTTCAACCGGATGGGCCCCTATTCACTAGATAGATATCATTGCAATATTCAAGGAATTGTAGGAAATTGGGGATTTCACATTTAATAACAGCTTTTGGACTTTCATCTTTGATAACAGCTTCGGTCATGTTACTACCTTAAAGACATGCAACGAAGCTGTACTGTGTGTCGTGACTGATGATTGCGTAGTAAACTGATGGCGTAAATAGTTGATACTGATGACATCGGATGTGCCGAACCAGCTTTGAATATTCATAATTGCAACATAATATTTTCTAGCAAACGTCTCGATGAGGACAATCTAACTCAATACGTCCAGCTTTCATCCCGCGTCGTTCCCCTGTGTGCTTGTCTCAGAGTTTGAAGCTACCTATTCTTGACAGGCCAAACCATTCAAACAATAGAAAATTTGATCTGCTTCTTTGTTGTTTAAAAGCCGCATAAGTTTATGACGACAATCAGACAATCCAGATCGTCCATACGTACGCAATTGGGATATGATGGCATGCATCAATCAAGCCTACGAGCCTCATCTCCCGATCACGTTAGTGGCCTGTTACAACAAGCAAAGGTTGGTGATGACCCGAGTCTTTACAGGATAGTTAAAGGAAGCAAATGTCGGACCTGCACATCCTACGATTAACTTCCTCCACGACATTATTGTACTGGTTGTCCCTTCAGAATATGACATGA